TCCACAGGGTTGCTATGAGTCACCGACAACTCAGTGGCATATAACAACAACTACTGGCCTAGTGGTAAGGAGCTGCACAGCCAACCCAAAAGTGTGTGTGTAACATGGGTAAACTCCTTTAGTGTGAAAAACAAACATTTAAAAAATAAGGAAAAAAAAGGGGGGATCTCTGGTGGCCTAGTGGCAAGAAGCTACACTACAATTCCAGAGGTATGTGGTTCAAATCCACCAGATGCTCTGCTGAATAAGGAGGAGCAATCTCCTCCTGTACCAGTCAGATCTGTTTTGATGGTACACACACAAAAATAATAAAAATAAAAAATAATGAAAAATGTAAAAACAAATGGATGGACAATATGACTTTCTTTGACAGTCTGTAGATCTTAATAATTTAGATTTTCAATACCAAGGGGAAAGCTTACATAATCAACCACCAATTCTGCTTCTTGGTCCTCGCCTCGCAGTTTCCTCACCACCTTTTGGATGAAGTCTCTGAAGTTGCTGGCCATGTAAACATCTTCACTCTGTAACCGAAGTCCACCACATTTCTGTCTGATCTCTTCAACCAACCTTAAGGTAAAGACCAGCTCATGTTACTTAGAGTTTTAAGAAAGAGTTTAGGGAATTGTGTGATTAGCATTTGTAAGCCTGTTTATATTCTATGAGATTGTCTGTGATATAAACAGAGAAGTCGCTAAAATAGATGGGAAGAAATTATCTTTTAAAACGTTTCTTGAAAGGCAGCGGAAAATTTTACTTTGTTTTTAACTTTAAACATGGCTTGAAAGAAAAATGCAGGGAGAAAAGCTTTTGATTGCTTGCAAGCAAGATCTTAAGGGGTATGCAAGATCTGTTCCTTTTCTATCAAACGTACTCATCAAAGAAGAAATAACATTTCCTAACTGTATGAGGAACTACAAGGGACTCAAGTCTCATTGTAGAATATTTCCTGTAAATCATAGGTGGGGACGTCTGGTGGTGAGAAACTGTGCTGCAATCCCAAAGGCACATGATTTGGATCCACCCGCTGCTCTGTGAGATGGGCAATCTCCTCCTGTGTGATTAACTGCTTCTGAAAACCCTCTGGAGGGTCAGCTATGAGTTAGTTCTGACTTGAGGTCACACAGCAATAACCTATGTAAAAACCAAGATATTTGTTTATTTTAAATGAAGTACAAACTAGCACTATGCTGTAAACCACTGCCATCAAAGAAAAGACATCAGTGAAAGATTCTGCTCTATTACAGAACTGACCATTCTGACCGACAGCAACTCTCCATCGGATGCTCGAGGCTGGAAATCTTTATGGGAGGAGACTGACCCTCTTTCTTCTGCAGGGTGGTTAGTGAATTTGAACTGTGATCCTTCAGTTAGTAGCTTTATACGCTACCACAGTTGGGTTCCTTGGACTCACACAATAGAACAATATAATTCCGGGGACTGTTTTCTCATCTTCAGTTTTCAGTTAATTTATCAAATCACAGCTTTTATTTAACATTTCTTAAATGGCAATAGGATACTAGATAAAGTATAGAAGGATTGTCTTAGTTGGTCAAGTCTTTGTTTTCTAAAAGAGATGAAGCGTCTTAGCCATTCAGATGGTGATTATTACGATAAGTCAGATTCCAAGACAGGAAATCAGTAATTTTTGCATGACATCTTGCTAACAAAAAAAAAACCCCTATTAATATTATAGTATAGAAATCTTTAGTTTGGAATGTTAGCATTTCCTAGTAACTTATGAATCATAGCTGAGAAAGCTATTGTTTGAGGAACCAAAACTCTTACTTGTTTGGGTTTTTTTTTCTTTAATAACACTATTTCTTTTATAGAAGATTGTTCTCAATTACTGGAACAAAAGCCTCATGAAAACAGAGTTGGTCTTGTTCACGACCCTATACCCTACTGTATGCCAAGAAGCTGGTACTAATATGAAGCAGGTGTTCAATAAGTTTTATTAAGTGAGTGAATGGCAATATCAACAGAGCATTAGGAACACTCACTTTGTTGATGTGAAAGATGTCAAGAGAAGACGATTCCCCCTTTGTTTAAACAGTGAATGACCCCAATGGGGCCTTCTTTCTCCCACCAGATACAAAAAGTCCTGCCTTGTATTCTCTATACCCAGCACACCAAGTGATTTCACCACCACAGGTTAGTTCTCAGAGGTGTTGCTATCCCAGGTGTTCAAAGGAAAACCACCTCTGAAAGATTCTGTTCTACTACAAATGTGGCAGACTTTTCTTCGCCTGCCAGTTACCATAACGTTTTCTGTGAGAAGCCAAATTTCATACTAAATATTTACAATAAATCAAATGCTATATCAGGATATGAGGGAGGCGTGGATACAAGCTACAATTCACCCTGAAAGCACTAAGGCAGACTTTAGATGTTTACAGGGGTAAGCACTAAGGTAAACCTTAAAGTTTACACAATTCATGTATGTATTTTCTAACCCCTCCTTCCTGAGTCAAGCATAAGGTTTTCAATAGAAGGAGCTTAGCTTCATTTACATGGAGTTCTCTTTGTGATTTTCTCCCTGGAAATTTTCAATAAAGGCACAGGGAAGCTGGGATCAGTACAGTTCCTGCTTTGCCTCTGGTTACTTATACATTCTTGTTGTTCTGTCTCGTTACTAATACTTGTTAATAATTTACCCTTGGTCAACAGCTGTTTTCGATGGCTGATAGTTTTTCAGATATAACTCACCAGGCCTTTCTTCTAAGGTGCCTTTGTGTGGATTTGAACCACTAGCCTTGTGGATAGCAGCTGAGTACATTAAGTATTTGAACCACCCAGGGACTCCTTTCTAGGACTCTCAGTCTTTCCCTTTGCTGTAAACTCTGTACAGAAATTGCAACTGGAGAGTTATTTCTCTTGCTCTTGAGAGTGACCTGGTATTCATCTGTTAGTTGTGTGTTGCTTAGTGATTTGGGGAAGTGACTCAAAGGAAAAAAATATCTGGGGGAAAGTGTAAACAATATTGGCTATCCTCCTGGGTCAGACTGCATAGGACATCTTTGGTTAACATTACAACCCAATTCATTTCTAAATTTCCCAATTCCATTGCCACTTTGGGAGGAAAATAAAATCAGAAATGAGAGCCAAATTAAATAGGGAAAAAAATTAGCAGAGTGAGTTTTCTATGTTTACAGAGGGTACAAGATTAATTCTTGGTCAACAGCAAAGAGAACAAATATATGTGTGTGGCCAAAAAAGGAAAGTTAACGAAGTGTAGCAGACAGGGAGGATAGTGCTAGAGCCCAGAAGAAAGAATCAGGATTTGACTTTTAAAGTCAAAATGGATATGATTCAGAAGAGGGATAGTTTTACCTGGCAACATCCATTGATCCTCCTCCAGATTTAAAGAAGTCTGTTGAGTCTTCAATAACAGGAATGTTGCTTAAGATCCCAGCCCAGATGGCCTATGCAGACAGGGAAACATTTATGAGGGAAGAGTCAGGTAGAATTCAACGGGAAGGTGGCTACCTGTGTGCAAGATGTGTTTCTTCTTGGGTACACAGCTTGGATCGATTTCCCAGCATCATTCCAAACTCAGTGCAGCCACGTGACAGACAACTAGCTAGTGACTGGAAGTGATCCACAAACTCCAGCCTTGGTTCATGAGAAAGTCCCTCCCTGCAGCAATTCTCTGTGCCTTTTTCCCTTTCTGGCTGTCTGGATTGGAGAAGACTTCAGGGTAACCTTGAAGATAGAGCGTGGGCTCCTGAATGACACCACTCCTAACTGCCATGTCCCACCCTCTAGCCTCATACACACCTGGAACTGCCTTGTGTTAATTACATGAATGAAAAATATATTTGCAGATTTCCTATAGCAAAAGTTCCTATAATTTTTAAAAAAGGAAATAATGTTGTATCCCTACTAATTTCAGGATGAAAAGCCCCAGAGTAAAATATGCTTCCGTTTTGGGGGCCAGAGGAACATTTAGAGACTAACAGAAAAGCCACCTCATAGTCACCTTGATGGTCTCAGCCAACTTCATCTCTTCAGGTGTAAGTTCTACCACTGATGTCTCACTGGTGGAGAAGTATTGGGAGGCAGGAATCATTCTTCCATCTTCAAACTGTAGATTTCTCACCATCAGCTACAAAATAGCAATAAAACAAGCAAGTAACTTTAGAATATGAACAATTTACAATTGATGCTGGCGGGAGGAGTCAGATGTTACATAGACATAAGGGCCATCTTCTTTGGGAAATATAAAAACATGGGTTTAAAGCACTCATAATTATTAATAAAATCAGTTTAATAATGGCAGCAGAAATGAGTAAAGCCAATAAGAGTTTGCTCTGATGTTGTAATTAGTTGAGTGCGTCAATCAATGGTAATTCATGCCTATAAAAGATTGTCTGACAAAACAAAACCAAAATGGGTAAACCCAGGAAAATGTCACCTCTTGACGTATGGTCTTTGGACTAACCACACATGCAAATAAGGAGATAGCCAGGTGCTTTCTTATTCTTGTCTTAATGGTGAGAAACTGGAGGCTCAATAAAGTGAAGTTCTTTGTGAATGCCGCACAGCTATTAAGCAATGGAGCTGGGTGTTGAACCCAGCGCTAGCAGAATTCAAAAGCCTCCTTTTAGCTCTGGTGGCCTGGTGGCAAGAAGCTGCACTGCAATTCCCAAGGCACGTGGTTCAATGCCACCAGCTGCTCTGAGGGAGAAAGATGGGCAATCTCCTCCGTGAGATTAACTGCCTCCGAAAACCCACTGGAGGTACAGCTGTGGGTCGGTTCTGACTCTATGGTACACAACAACTGTTAGCTCAGTTATGACTGAGCTATCTTGGCTGCTGTAAGATTCACATTCCTTTGCATTTCTTGGGAGGCTTCAGAAGCTCACTAATCCTAAATGAAAGCTACTGGGGCCACATCTATAAACTTACTGGACTCTTCCGGAAGCTGGAAAAGGAAAGGCAGAGAGGCAGGATCATTTTCTCTTTTGTAGTGGGGGTGACAAGTCCAGAGGGGAGAAACATCCTTCCCAAGACCTTGGCCAGCAGATGATTGGGCGAATCTCCTGGCTGAATCCTGTTTTCTTTCTCTGGATGACAAAGCTGACTGTGTTCGTCCTTGGGGATGATGCTATGGGTTTAGAGCTTCCCCTCATTGAGACACACGTAGAGCCTGCTCATCCCGAGAGAGAAATGGGGTCCAGGCGGCTTCATCTTCCTCCCACCCACAATAAACATGATTCCCTCAATAGTGTGAGTTACAGGAAGAAAGCAGAAAAGCGACTTTATGGGCGGCCCTACTGAACACTCACTGCTTTTCCATCATTACCAAAAAGAACAAGTCCGTTTTTGGTAACGAGCCCAGACTTCTTGGCACCTTTAATTTCCAGAGGTTCTCCAGGAGGCACGGAGCTACCCAGCAACGATGAACCATAGAAAGTGACCACCTGACAATGAGATCAAACCCAGATTTTAAAACCAGGAAGTGAAGGGAAATACCCTTCTCTGCAAAAAAACGGAAGTCAGCATCATCATCTAGAACAAACGCAGGATACCACCAAGGGCACGAGACTGCTGATGCCATCGAAATAACACAGAGTGAGAGCTAACATCCAGTGATTGTGTTACTAAGGAGTTCCGGAGATGTCCCACAGCCAGGGATACGAGGAGACATTTATTATTTATACCCCAACACAAAAGTGACTAAGATTAATACCTCACGTCACTATTATCTAAGAGATTTTACTTTCCTAGTCTTTACTGATCTTTAGCCTAAAGGCAGGGGTTGTGTTGAAGGTAGAGGTGTTGGAGCTGGGAAGATGGCAGAACAGCGAAGACTTAACAACACTGTACTTAAGGAGGAGCTCTGGTGGCTTAGTGGTGAGGAGTTGTTCTTCTAATCCAGAGGTTCGAAACCACCAAGGAAGAAAGATGGCCAATCTCCTCCCGTGTGACTTACTACCTCTGAAAATCAGCTGGAGGGTCAGCTATGAGTTGGTTTCAACTCAAAGATAAAGAACGACAACACAATGCTAAGTGAAGATCTGACTCTAGACTATCACCAACAAAGCTGGCCCTTAGTTCTATAATGTGACTCTTATTTATTTAGCATTATAATAACTAACACACACTGAATCCTTACTTTGTGCCAGTGTCTACTCATTCATTAAGTGAATGGCCCTATAGTAACCCTTTTAATCTTCACAATAACCCATAACCTAAAAGAAAGACACTGTGATTTAGCTCCATTTTTAAAATGAAGAAAGCATGACACTCTGTTATTAAGGATCCTGTCCAGGGTTGTACAGAAATAATGGCAGAGTTGGAACTTCAAGAGAAACATTCCGCCTCTTGAGCCCACACAGATTTTCTATTTTCATGGAACCCAGTATGTACTAAAAGTGTATACATGGGGCTGAGGCTATCAGGACAATAACAGGAAAGCCTTGCCCTCAGGGTTTCACAGTCTAGTTATGGGGAGGGGAGGGCAGTCAAATAAAGAAGCCCTCACAGTACACAATCAATATTCATTAGCTGTGTCAAGCACAGGGCAGGATGTCCTTGGAACAGAGAAGAGGGACACTCAACCTCACAAGAAACGGCTTATGAAGATGTCAGGAAACCCTTAGGAAGAAGAAAACCAGAAAGCCTGAGCTGAGACCCCCACAAAGCAGAAGGCCCTTCACGCTCCTGCTCCTGTCCACCTTCCTGCTTCATCTCTCCCGACACCTCACCTCGGTCCTGAGGCTCCAGCTGCCATGCTGGGCTATATACTCACCCATCTCTGAGTACTCTGAAGTACTGCATCAGCTACTCCTTTCAGTGTCCCTGGCCACGTGGCTAGCTCCTCTCCAAGTGCAAGTACAGTCAGCTTTCACTGACCAACCTGAGTCCACGCTTCCATCACAGTATTTTTCTTACTGTGTTGTGTTTATTCGCTTTTCTGTTAGGAAGACCCTGGAGGGCAGAGGCTGTACCCAATGTCTGCTTTACAGTAAACATTCCATGTGAGTTAAATAAAGTGTAAGTGGTTTCTCTTCTCAGGCAGCCTCAGGTCCATGCTGAACACATATGCCCAGAATCATATACTTTCATTATCACCAAGGAAAGATCAAGGGGCAGGCTTCATTACCTTGACTGGGAGTCAAGAAGGGAAATGCATGTTCCAAAATATACCTGCTGTATTGTTCACAATAGTAAAGAGATGGAAGCAACTCAAGGTGCCCATCAATAAATGAATGGATAGAGAACCTGTGGTGTATTCACATAATGGAATACTACACAGCACTGAAAAATAAGACACTCATAAAATATTATACAAAATGGGTGACCCTGGAGGACATTATGCTGAGTGAAATATCTCAGTCACAAAAGGACAAATACTTCATAATGCCACTATTATAAAACAGGACTGACATGTGAGTTGGGGGGGAAACTAAGAAGAGAGGGGATAAAAATCAACACTGCATTGAAATAGATGAGGGAAAGAACTGCTTAAAAGGAATATATGATTAGGTATTGTTTGCATGACAACAGTCCAGAATAAGAGGTGCATTGCAAATTGGACTGGGGTGGGGAGGGAGGAAATTGTACAACAATGAAAGAATCTTTTTAAAGAGAAAACTTACAGGGGGTAAGGGAGGAAAATGTGCAACAGTGAACAAAGATAAATTCAAGTTTTCTGTAAACCTTCTGTTAAAATATTAAAAAAATGTAAAACAAAAACCCAAAAACATCCCCCCAAAAAACCCCAAAATGTACCTGTCTGTTGATCTCTGTCCAAGCTCCAGGAATTTTATCATGGCCTCGGATCCAATTGTGTAAAACTTGTGCAGGCTGGTCCCAAGAAATCTAGGGAAATGTAAAGCACAGGCTGAACCTGCCACTGCTGTGAGTCCCAAGGACAACAATACTGTCACAGCAGAAGGAGCTACACCGGTTTGAAAGTAGCTACCCTTCAGGAAGGAAACTATATATTGGAAATGACTTAAGAGTAGAAGGCTTCAATATGACCCAGCTATTCCACTGCTTGGACTATGCCCTGAGAAAACAAGAACTGAGGCACAAACTGAGACATTTACAGCAATGTTCATAGCAGCATTACTCACCATCGCAAGAACATGGAAATAGCCCAGATGTCCAACCATAATTGAATGGATTGAGAAATTATAGTACCTTCATATAGTGGAATACTACGCAGCACACAGGAACAATGACTTTGTAAATTATTACCTAACTTGGGAGTGACTGGAGAACATTATCCTAAGTGAACTAAGTCAGTCCCATAAGGACAAATATTGTATAAAAGCATTATTGTAGAATAAGTAAGAGGATCCAAGATGGGGGGAAGGTGGTAGCAGAGGGATGAGGATGTGTGTGTCAGAGGATTAATTATGTTAATTAATTAACAGTTTGATGGGTTGGGGGTGAGGGAAATTGTGGAAGAATGTGATCTGAAAAACAATGCATTAGAATTTTGTAAATAAGCTGTTGTTGCTGTTGATTGTCTTTGAGTAAAGCACAACTCATAGTAACAAAAGGCTTGAAGCTCCTCTATAACTATCAACTATTATAAAAGTTAATAAGCTAGTTGTTGTTGTTGTTGTTAAATACAATCAAGTTGTAGGCGACTCGACTCGTAGCAACCCTATGAACAAAAGTCCTCAACACTTGTGTGACTTTCAACCTTTCTCCAGGTTCATAGGATTCATAGGAGGCAAGCTATTATAGAAGTGGATGCCACTCGGGGACCTCCACCAAACACTGTCCACCATGAGTAACCATTAACGCAGTTGACACATCAGCATCACAGTGTTCAGCTTCACAGCAACCACAAGTTAACTCTGTACAGCAAGTGGACACACCAGGCCTATACCACCTAGAAGAATGTTTGAAAAAAAACAATGAAAAACAGGCCTGAGGGCCATGAGTTAGAAGTCACCCACCTTTGGCTTGGTAGCATCACTTTCTCTATGTTGGTGTTATTGTTGTTAAGTGCCGTCAAGTCGTAGGCAACTCAACGCGACCTTATGAATGAAAGTCCTCAACACTTGTGTGACTTTCATCCTTTCTCCAGGTTCATAGGGTTTCCGGAGGCAAGCTATTTATGGAAGTGGATGCCACTCAAGTAAAACAAAAATTTAAGAAGCAGGAGGTTGTGAAATCTGAGACGGTTTTGAGTTGATAAAAGGGGCCCTGATGGCACAGTGGATTAAGTGTTGGGCTGTTCACCAAAAGTGTGGTAGAGAAAAGTCTGCTTCCTAAAAGAGCCACAGCCGTGGAAACCACGGGGGGCAAATCTGTCCTGTAGAGTCACTGTGGGTTGAAATCAACCTGATGGCAACGGCTTGAATTTTGATGATGGAGTTGGCATAAATACCTCGGCATTTTCCTTTTTCTGGATACCTTCATACGTTGCTCCTTCTTCTGTTTGGGGGATACGGGGTGCTTTTCCGTTGGCTATGAGTTGGACAGCTTCTACCTACAGCCAAAAACATCACCTGTGTTACTGTCCGATGAACAATGGCACAGTCTGTTTAACTGAAGTTTTTGGGTCACAGAATAATTACATATGAGTCTGTCATGATGACAACTGTCATGTCTTCAGTCCCATCTACATGTCAGGAAATGTGGTGGGAACTAACATTAAAGCTCTCTTGCAAATATTGTCCCAATTCTGCAAGGCGGAAATTATTATTCCCGTTTTACAGATGAGGAAACGGAGGCCTAGAAAAGGTACGCACCTAGCTCACGTCACAGAGAGGGTTTGCAGGGTCAGAGGCAGGATTTGAATCCAGGTCTGCCTACTCTCCCTATCAGACACACGCTCTTTTTAAAAAAAATGACTGTTGTTTAAACAAACTTTACTCATTTTGGTGATCCGATGGGAATTTCAGAAATATTAATGCAGAATAAATCATGGTCGAGTCATTTTTGTTCATCCTGGTAAATGATTCATTGTTGTGTTCAGTTGGTTCAATTTGCTTAGAGAGCTCTCCTGGTACTTAGGGACTTGAACTGCTAACCAAAGGCTGTGCCCCTCTCATAGATTGAATCCACCAGCACCTCTGAGTGAGGAGAAATCTCCTCTTGTGCAAAGTACAGCCTTGGAAACCCACTGATCAATTATGGGTTGGTTCTGACTCAATGGCAATAAGTTTTTAGTGTTTCTAGCTCAGGACACTTGGAACTAAAAAGTTAAACTCCACCCATGAGCTTGATTGGCTTTGTGTTGTGAGTCCCTCCCTTTCACTGGGAGTCCATGTGAGTTCAATGCTTAGGTTTCCCTCTGTATTCTCCCACCTTCTACCTGCTTGCTAGAGATTACACAGAGGGAGCCCCGGGGAACAGAGCCAAGTTCATAGCTCATTATATCTACCTGCAGCTAAAATGACAGCAGGTTTAGGGGTGGCTTGAGCAAATGCCACGGAGTACATATAATTTTGTTTTGATCATAATTATTATAACTGTTAAAAATTTTGGCTTATTTGGTTCCAGAATCAACACCCTTGGCACCAGTAGGAAATCAGATGAATTACTCTAGGAAAGGGTGATATTAGGGACCTCTCCAGAGTGCCAAAGATGAACAATATCAGTATGGAGACTTAAGTGTATCTGATACTGGCCATGGTTTTTACAATCACTTGCTTTGCATCCAAAATCTGGATAATGAATAAAAATGACAGATGAAATTTTGATGCCTTTGAGCTGTGGTGCTGGAAAAGAGTGTTGAACATACCATAGACTTCCAAGTGAACAAATACGTCTGTCCTGGATAGGGTGAAGCCAAGTTGCTTGAAAGCAAGGGTTTTGAAGCTCCACCTGACATACTTTGGACATGTTTCCTGGAGGAGCCAGTCCTTGAAGAGGGACAACATGCTTGGACGGGTGGAAGGACAGCAGGAAGAAGACCCAGGATGAAATGGGTTGACATAGTTAGTGGTGTAATGGGGGTAGGTGTGTCAGAGACAGTGAGATTGGCTTGCCCTGTCATGTCCCATTCTCATCATCTTTTATATACTTGAGCCCTTTGTAAAAGTCACCGTGCCAATCCATTTCATTGAGGGTCTTTCTGTCTTTCTCTCCTTTACTGACCTTTTCAAGCCTGATGTCCTTTTTCCATGCATGATAACCTTTCCAAGTATGGAAAGGGCCCTTTCTAACCACATGCCCAAGATAGGTGAGACTAGACTTCTTCACCCTCTTTGCCTGCAAGGAGCACCCTGGTGACACTTTCTCCGAGACGTATTTGTTTAGATTTTTGGAAGTCCATGGGGTATTCAGTACTTTTCTCCAACACCACAGCTCACAGGTATTAATTCTTTTCTGTCATATTTACTCACTGTCCAACCTTAAGCTGTATAACAATTAAAAAGACTATGGCTTGAATCAGATGCACCTTAGTCTTTAAATTGGCATCACTGCCCCTTAACACCTTCGAGAGGTCCTTGACAGCAGATTTACCCAATGATTTACTACATAAGTGAGTAATTAGTAAATGCAAATTTTTATCAGCTTTATGTTCTTGGTCAAAATTCATATGACAACTTCTAAATAAAAGGAAAACATTTACAAAACATCAAAGGCTCAACAAATTGTAGACAGCATAAACATACTGACCATGGCCTTGATTCCTTCAGGAAAAAGGAATCGATTATAAAGTGTATCCACTGTATCATTGGGTTCAACATCACATGACCTCTGAAGAAGGAGAGGTCCTGTATCCAAACCGTCATCGGCCCAGAAAACAGAAAAGCCAGCTTTCTTATCCCCCATAATTAGAGTCCTGAGAAAAAAAAGAGGGGAGGGAATGAATTTACAGTGTTGGTTAGCTGAGAGATGAGTTGGCGATATCAAAATATATGGGGTCTATAATGGACTTTTGGTGGCCTAGCAGTAAGAAGCTGTGCTGCAATCCTGTCAACACGCGTTCAAATCCACCAGCTGCTGCCCCATAGGAGAAGGACAGGCAATCTCCTCCCATTTGGTTAACTGCTTCTGAAAACACACGGAAGGGTCAACTATCGTCGGATCCATACCAACAATGGAAAAGTAAATGGAGCTCTTGTGAGAAATTAACTGTAGGTCTGGCAGAGAAAAAAGACATAATAAAAAAGCAATACCTAGTGGTATTGCTGTTTATATATCCTCATAACTGCAGTCCTCCGAGTTGTCACATAGTAATGCCTTACAGTAAATTAAAGAAGGCATTAGAGACTATCATTATGCCTGCTGTTCCTCTTTGATTTCCAGAAGCCAGCCTTCTTTGGAAGGAGCAAGTAATTTCGCCCACCTGGGCCATATTCCTACACTGTGTGGGACCCAATTAGATAGTAGAAGATAAGGCAGCACAGAAGACACTTGGCACAACGTGAAGAGAGTATATATTATTATTATAGGCAGTATAATTCTAGTATAAGCTTCATTTAGGATTAGAATGAACTCTACATGGTCTACACATTATAATAAAGAGTACTTTATTGCTATTTTATATTGTATGCATTGAGATCAACTTGATAGCAGTGCTTTTTGTTGCTGTTATTTTGCTTTGCTTGTTGTTGTTATTTTCTTGGTTTATAAAATATAACCTAAAAGAAAATGCTAGCCTGACTAGAGCTTGCTTATAAAGCGATAAGCTGGACATTGTTGTTAGGCGCTGTCAAGTTAAGTATGACTCATATTGACCCTGTGAATTACACGCCTGGACCCTGTCCTATCCTGGGCCATCCTCATCATTATCTCGGACACAATCAAGCCCATCACTGTGGTCACATTGACACTATGTGTCAAACCACCCGGTTCAGGGGCTTCCTCTCTTTTGCTAACCTTTCACTTTTCCAAGAATGATGTCCTTCTCCAAGGAATAGCCAAAAACACAGGGAAGAGATGCTTAAGTGAAAATACTGAACAGAAGATTTCAAAGGACAGCTTGAGAAGATAAAGCAACATTTTGTAAGCTAGAGAAAAGGGCAAATAAACAAAAATGCATCTCAGGGAGCAGGCGAACCCACAGAGTATGAAATGGGTAGTCAACCACACTCAAAGAAACATTCTTTTTATTTCATGAGTTACGTGTGGGTGAATGAATGAAGGAACTCGTCTCAGAAATGATGAGGAGTTAACTGATAATTGTTTTAACCAGAGGCTCAAAACCAGTTATATACTCTGGCCCAATAATTCCACATGTGAAAACAAACAGAAATGAGGAAAAACCATTCGTTTAGGTGCATAATGTCTACAATAGTCTTATTTACAAAAGTAAAAAGCAAATCAATCCATGTAAGAAAACACTAAATACAATGAAAATATTTTTTTTAAAAATCCCATTTCTGCCAACTGTGGACTTCTAGTCTAATCAACTTAACACTAAGGGATATTAAAAAGATGAGCAGGTCAAAAAGAGAAGATAGTGGAGGCATGATAGACCCACCTCAACACCCATCAATGGCCAGAATACCCAGAGAGCATGGACAGCACTGCGTGCCCAGAGTGGACCAGGCACTGTTACGGATGTTGGAATGAAATGCTGAACAAAGTCCCTCCCCTCAGGGCTCTTAATGTCCAATGAGGGAAGACAGACAATAAAGAAGATAATTTCAACTAAGTCAACATTTTTCAAACTGAAGTGTACTTGAAATGTGTGCAGAATGAATTCTGTGCTTAACTCAATTGGGGCAACTGTGTACTAGGAGCAGCTCTTAGAGAATCATGATGCTCACATTAAGGCACTTGCCTTGCGAAGTCTTGCAGTACACAAGTCCATCATAAACAAATCTGTCAGAACATGGAATCTCTCTTTGCTCAGTACCTAGTTACTGGAACTAGTGCTCCATGGGGTAAAGTTACTCTATTCATGAAGAACATCTGGGTTTCAGAAAGAATTCATGCTATAGTAGCAGTTGTTGTTGTGTATCATAAAGTGAGAAACGACCCATAGCTGACTCTCTGGTGGGTTTTTAAAGGCAGTTAATTGCACGGAAGGAGATTGTCCATCCTCCCACAGAGCAGCTGGTGGCCTCAAACCACATGCCTTCGGGATTGCAGCGCAGCTTCTTGGCCAACAGGCGACCAGAGCTCCAGTTAGGACATCACAATTGTTCAAGTATTCTATTTTTTTTTTCTAAATCATCTAGATAAAAACCAGAAAGATAAAAGCAATGAAGAGAGATCGCTATGTCCTGTTCTTACAGAATCTCACCAGTTGATAGCAGAGGCTCCTCTGTGCCTGGGAAGGAGAGACGGGTGATAGATGATGGAGCCGTGCTTGGGGCTGTCAATGACGTCCATGGGGATGAACTGTGTGCAGAAGGGAAGCACGTTGAGCTCGGCATCCACGGACCTGTACGCCTCCGCCACCTCCTGTATCGTCTTGCCCTTGACTCTCCATCTCGGGAACTTGAACACAGGGGTCCCATCTTTTTCTGCAGCCAAAGCTGAGCAGGAAGAGAAGATCGCTTTCACTAAAAATTTACCCATATGTTTTCTTGGTTATAGATTCGTAAGTATTGAAGTGATGCAAATAGTTCATTTGCACGGTTGCAAATCAAAAGCCTGGCATTCAAGGCCCCCCGGAAGTACTTCAAAAGAAAGGGTGGTGATTTGTTTCTGAGAAATCAGTCACTGATTGTATGGTGGGCTGTTCTAAGGAGTGCGTTCCTCCCTGGTGTTACTGATCATCTAACATTGTTATTATGAACCAACTCTTAGAGCTGACCCTCCCCTAGGTTTTCAGAGGCTGTAAACTACGTGAGAGGAAACTGATAATTTCCACCCCACCCCCCCCCACCACGGAGCAGTTGGTGGATTCAAACTGCCTGCCTTTGGGCTGGCAGCACAATTCTTTACCTACTAGGCTACCACAGCTCTCAATCATATTACAGACTCATCTGTTATTTGAGTCATGGGGATGATGTCTGCTTAGTTCAGGCTCAGTTGCGTCATGGGGGTGATTTCAGTTTCCACTAAGGATCATCATCTTTGGGGGTCCAAAAGGAGTTATTTGGGGTTTAAAAAATACAGTCACATTTATAGTTTTAGCGCTTGATGAAACATTTAAAAAAAAAAAAGACATAGTGAGGAATAATTTAGATTCTGACCAAAATTTTAATTTTATTATGATCCATTTAAAAATGTGATATTTACCTACATTTAAAAAAAAATTTCATTATTTTTGTGTGTGTACCGTCAAATCAGATCTGACTGGTACAGGAGGAGATTGTCCCTCCTTCTCCAGTAGAGCATCCAGTGGATTCAAACAGTGTACCTCTGGGATTGCAGTGCAGCTTCTTGCCACTAGGCCACCAGAGCTTCCTCCCTACCTACATATTTAAAGCATAAGTTATTTGAATTTAAAACACTGTAGCTGTGTAACATTTTGAGATTTTGGCTGAAGCTTTCTCACATTCCTATTTAAGAAAAGAAAAACAAACAACAATCCAACTCTTTGTTTTTAAGATCATTGTTTTTGATCCAGTCACTTAAATAACAAAAATCTTTTGATTTAAAGCCAAATGCCAATATTTCAGCCACAAGCTAGACACAGCTCCTGCACCGCTGGAAAATCTCAAGGGTCTCCACCTCCCTCACCTCAGGGACAGGCCCCATTTATCACAAGGCCAATTGTGGCCCAGGGCACACATTCCACAGCAGGCAGGCAGATCCCCAGAGAGGAAGAGAAGGAGCTGTTAAACTGAACTGAGCTGAGGCGGTCTCGTTCCTTATTCTAAACTCACCAACAAATTAATGGAGAGAATACATGCTCGCCACAAGATAATGTCATATTGGAGATCTCCAATAAAGTATCTCTTCCCCGAGGAATACTATCTTTCATGTGAAAATAGGATTACCTTCCAAAGTACTGACAGTACAAGCCCATTTTCATGTAATAAAATGTCATTTATACTTACTTATCCACTTATCTATTGCCATTGAGGCAAATTATAACTCATAGGAATCCTACAGGACAGAACAGAACTACCCCACAGGCCTTTCAGGGCTGCAATCTTTATGGAAGTGGATCGCCACATTTCTCCCACAGAGTTGTTGATGAGTTCAAATTCCCAACCTTACAGTTTGCAGGTGAATGCTCAGCCATTGTGTCACTAGGTCTCCTTTCAAATGAAACTCCCTCATTATTTCTGATGAATTTAAGCTACTAAGATCACACAACAACTAAATGAAAGAGCAAGAATTCATTCCCTGATTCCACAAGAAACGCTGCTAACAGTGTCAATGTGTTGTTCCACCTGCTGGGTTCCTCTACAAGCCAGGCTGGGATTTTTCTGTTTCTAAATTATCCCTGGAGCTTAGTGACCATCACCAGTTGAGAGGTGCTCCTGGCCCTGGAACCAAGTCATAGGGAAGGAGGTTGGGAACATGCTCATAGTTGTTCTGACCATGTACACGCCGGAGATTGCTACCTATTCTTCCTTTAGCAGTGAACCTTCCTTACTCTAGCTGAATATACAGCTACCCTGGAAGAAAAGATACATTTCTCAGCCTCTCTTGCCAACAGATTTGTCAATGATCATATTCTAACCAATGGGATTTCAGAGAGTTGCAATGTGCAACTTCTGGATTACGCTGTAAATGACTTGCCCTTTCTTTCCCCTACTTTCCTTCCTCCTTAGTAGATGGAAGACTTGATGGCAGGGACTCGAAGCATCTACTATTGACCATGAGGTGGAAACCCAGTGTAGATAATGATTAAACAACAAACAGAAGGAGCCGGCATTAGGATTAGTGGACAATTGTCACATCAGCTCTGGAGGAGCCAATCTGGATTGAGAATGAACATCTATCCATCTCAATTTAACTTGAGATCACCCAATTTAACAGTCCAACTTATACCTCAACTATCATTCATCTAAAACATTCCTCACACAGAACTGTTCCAAAGATACAACAATGGGACAAGTGGTCCCAGCAAGAGGGAGCTGCCCCCTTCTGCCTTCAGAGCCAGGTGTGAACAAATAAAGGCAGCCTCCTTAGGAATTCTCCAAGTTGAAATGAACTTTTTTTCTGAAACAAGAACAATTTCTAGCTCAAGTGATTAAATTCAAACCTGTGTGTTCTCTCAATCAAGTGTTGTTTGTAGTTTGACTCTTGGCAATAATATCACAATATTATTATTGATAAAATAGTTAAACAGAAGTCAACTCTAGAACTTTTAGCCTCTGAGAATGAAAAAGTATAAAGTTATTATAGATGACAGTTTTCCAACTAATGAGCTAAATTTTACTAGTCAGTGACGAAGATCAATATAGTCAAGCCAAGTGATACCACTCCTGCTTATTCCCAACCCTGTGTATGGATGGTTTCTGTGTCTTACACTCAGTTTTCAACATAATTATGGCATGTAGAATAGAACTACACTACAGGCTTGCACTGGGTATGGCCATCTCCCCAATCCCCTGAACAGTCTTAGCCATAGTCTCAACATCAATTTTTGTTGTCAAGCATGGCCTTACCTTTCATTGCCAACGGCACTTCCATTTAGGCATCATCATGGATACACCATTATATCTTTGAAAAGTCACTCATGTGTGTCAGAAAAAAAAATATATTACAAGCTTGGAAAGTTTTCTGTTGAGCCTGGTGATCACCATGTAAGTTAATGGGAAAGCTCATGATAAGGCAGGACCTGTGCCTGTCTTTGCTTCGCCAGCACTTGTCTGTCAGTTTCCTGTACTGTGGTAGTTTGTATGTTGCTGCAATGCTGTAGGCTATGCCATTGGTATTTTAAATACCAGCAAGGGAAGCCATGGTGGGTAAGTGTCAGCTTCACCTGAGACACATAGAGAAGGGCGGACTGGTGAGTGCACACCTACTGTAATAGACTCGGCAGGAGACCTTCAATAGGTGGAGGGAAGGCAGAGCAGAGAGAGAAGTGTACAGTTTGGGTCTTTGGCACCTGGGGTAGAGAAGTGGGAGTGAGCTCAGATACAATGCTGGACAGTTAAAAGGTCATTATGGGTTCCTTGGCTCAGGTGTCCCAAGGTTCACTCACCCAGTGGGTCAGCTTTCCCATCCCTGTCTGGAACTGTGAACACTCCTACTACTCGGTGGCCCTCCTTGCGGAGGTGGCTGTAGACTTCTTGTCCAAAGAGGCTCTGACCAATAAGAGCCAATTTGAGCTTGTTTTTGAAACAAACCTGCAGAGCAATTCAATGATGTCAGATATTAGTACAGAGAGCAGGAGACATGTGAATAATAAACCTTTTTTCTTCAGTGAACAATGTCTTGAGGACTATGAAAGCCTCCAAGATCTGCAAAACAAAATTTAATTCATTTCCACTGAACTTAGCCTGTTATTGTTGTGTACCATCAAGTCGGAAGTGACCCATAGCTGACCCTCCAGCGGGTTTTCAGAGGCAGTTAATTGCATGGGAGGAGACTGCCCATCCTTCTCCCACAGAGCAACTGGTGGCCTTGAACTGTGTGCCTTCAGAACTTAGACTACAAATACTAAATACTCCTCCTCCTACAAATAGTAAGTAAACATAATTTCACACACAAGTATTGCTTGATTTTCTTTTGCTCTAATTCCCTTAATTAATCATTTGAGTAATTATTTACATCATTCAAGATTATTGTTATTGTTGTTAGGTGCCACAGAGTTGAATACGACTCGTAGCAACAAAAGATCTGAACCCTGTTCTGTCCTGTGCCATCCTCGCACTTCCTGACACACAAGAGCCCACTGAAGCAGTCACCGTGTCAGTCCACCTGCTGCAGAATCTTCCTCTCTTTCGCCAACCCTGCACCCTTCCTAGCATCATGCCCTTCTCCAAAGAATAGCCCCTCCTAGCAACATGCTCAAGTGTGTGAGGTGAAACCTCTTCATTCTTGCCTCCAAAGAGTTCTCCACCTGAACCTTCTCCAAGAGGGGTCATTTTGTTCTTTTGGCCAGCCATGGGATGTTCAGTGCTCTTCTCCAACACCACAGCTTAAAGGCATCAATTCTTCTGTCATCCTTATTTGTTATCTAGCTCTCAGATGCATAGCAAGTAATCAGAAAGACCATGGCCTGAATCAGATGCACCTTAGTCCTCAAACTGACATTATTACTTCTCAAGAATCTGGAGAGGTCCCTAACTGCAGAATTTCCCAATGCATTGAGTCTCCTTATTTCCTGCCTGGTGGTACCAAAGGTGTTAACTGTATATCCAAGTAAGTGAAGTTGTTGACAGTTTTAATCTCTTCTCCATCACAATGTAGCCTACAGGTCCAGTGGTAAGAATCTTTGTTTTCTTGACATTGACATACAATCCATATTGAAGGCTGCAGTCCTTGATCTTCTGCAACAAATACTTCAAGTCCTCCTCACTTCCAGCAAGCCAGGTTGTGTCATCTGCATAACACAGGTTATTGGTAAGTCTTCCTCCAACCCTGATGCCACATTCCTCTTATAGAGTCCAGCTTCTCAAATAATTTGCTCAGCATACAAGTTATATAGGTATGGAGAGAGAATACAATCATGACACACTCCCTTCTCAATTTTAAACCACGCTCTTCCCTTGCTCTGTTTGCACAACAGCCTCCTGATCAAGGTATAAGTTTCACATGAGCACAGTTAAGTGCTCTGAGACACTCATTCTTCTCAATGTCAGCCACAACTTGTTATGATCCACACAGTCAAACCCCTTTGCTTAAGTCAATAAAGCCCAATTAGACATTCTGGTATTCTCTCTTTTCCTCAGCAATGATGTCCCTGGCACCACGGCTTCTTCTAAATCCTGTTTGAACTTTTGGCAGTTTCCTGTCTATGTACTGTTCCAACCATTTTTTAATAATCTTCAGCAGTATTTTGCTTGCTGAGGGGCCGGCGAGCGTAGGAATGGCCAATGAGGGGTTGCAGCCTTCTTACTGCTCCAGTGAGTTGAGTCTACTCCTTGGCAGCTAGTTTATTGACGTTTGCTTACTAGTTGCTCCTTTCTTGGCAGTGGAACAACCCCCATTCCTCAGGACTCTCTATTTTCCCCCTCTTCAATCTCAGGAAAACTTTCTTTTTTTTTTTTTTAGGAAAACTTTCAAATAATCTGTAAAGTCATTTTAAATTAGCAAAGCCTCACTTAACATCTGATTATGAAAAAAGGGTTCGTTCTCTCTCATTCATTTCCCACCTTACTAGAGGGCACAGTCAATATTCTTTTTTTCCCCCTTCTACGCAAGAACTTAACGGATAGCAGTTGACACTTTCCCTATAATTATACTTATAATTAAACAATTGTGGTTTTGGTTTAAAAATTCTTTCCCAGAGCCAGTCAGAGGTTATAAGCCAAAAGGGCCAATTATGTTTCAACTTCCAACAAACACTTACCAGCAAAGAAATTAACTCTGTAGTAGCAGCATAATTCACATACAGATAATGAGTGGTTGCCAGTTTCATTTCCGCTCTACTCCAAACCAAAATGTTCTGTAATTGTCAGTCTTCTAATCATATATGCAAGTCTATTGCTTGAAATAGAACTCACATGCGCTGCCTTACAGATGTTGGCTTTACTGCATACCATTACCAACACAAACTATTTTAAGACCTCTGAAATACTACTTTTTTAAATACATTTTTAAATTTTAATTGTAATTTTGTTTTGGGTTTTTTAATTTTTTTAAATTGTAATTTAAACGAAAGTTTACAGAAAGTTAGATTCTCATTCATTCATTGTTATATATTTTACCCTCTCCCTCCCTCCCTTCCTCTTCCCCCAATATTTAAAAAAAAAATTCATTTGTTGTTGCACAATTATCTCCCCCTCAATCCTCTCTACAATGTACCTCTTATTCTGAGCTATTGTCATACATATAATGTCTAATCATATATTCCTTGCAAATAGTGCTTTTAAAGCACACAAGAGCCAAGAGGCTGAGCTCAAATGTAATGTACTACTCAGTTCTCAAGGAGTTATTTATTACCTGGATTTAATTCCTGATTTGATACCCAGAAAGGCAGCTTTTTTTTTTCTTTCAGAAAGGGAAATTTATTATGATTTAGGAGTTGGGTATTGCACATCCGGAGTACCAGCGGTGTGAGAAGGCTTCCTCTCTCTTTCTCTCTCAGCGGTGCAGGAAAGTCAGTGCATCCTTCCGCAGCCTTAGTCCAAGCTGTCCAGGGTGATCACCATGGGCTTTGGCCTTCTCAAGTTAAAGATCTTTTTCTCCTTGCGGTCTTTCTCTGCTGTGCTGACCGTTAGAATTCAGTCCTCTCCCACCAAGATCGAGCTGTGACGGTGCTCTGCGGAGTGGTCTGGATCCTTGTGATGGCACCTAAATAGTGTCCGATGGCTTCGCTTCTATGTTGGCCAAAGCTGGGGTGGGTGGCAGGTGTGGCTCTGTTCTGCTTTTCACTGACCTGAGTCTTATTTTTGAGCCCCTTGGGAGGCACCCATGGTGGCACCGATTGGGTAAGTGCTGGTGATGGCAGTGCCGATGGTGGGGGAGGAAGTGGTGGAGCTGTTTCTGCTGGCTGTGGTGTAACAGGTGGTGCTGGGGAAGGTATCGGGGAAGTGGGGCTGCAGTAGGCCGTGTGGGGGGGTCTGGTAGGTGGTATGACCCACAACAGTGTTAATGTAGGTGGCGTGGGGGGTCCGGTAGGTGGTATGACCTGAGTGATGTTGATGTAGAGAAAGTCAGCTTTTAAAGAACCCAGGTCTGTTTTTGAGATACTTCATTCCCTTAAATAACTTCTGAGCCCTATACAAAACCTGAAGCTACAAAGGTGAGTCTCTTGCACTGACAACTCTTCTGATTATTTTATGATTCCAAAAGTGTTTGTAGTTTGTTAGCAGAAATCCAGAGGATGGGCTGGGCTGGGCTATTTTATCATCATCCCCTTATTTCTTTAGAGAAGTAAGTGTGGTCTGAGGACTGAATCCCGGGGAGGGCAGAAGCAGCTGGGAGGACTTGCTGACAATGGGGAGTCCTGGCTCCTGTGACAGATTTACTGAGTCTGGATCCTATGCCTGGGAAACTGCATTTCCACAGCTCACTGATGACTTCTGGCAAATGCTAAAGTCCCAGCATCTCTGCTCCAGGGAAAGCTTGTGCACAACCACAGCATAAAATGCTCTACCCTGGGGACTCTGGGACAGGAAGAACAGGTGAAAAAGAACAGCACCTGCTCAGGGCCAAGTATTTCACATCTCTGACCTCCTTGAGAGGCCCAGTGACCCCCTGAGGCAGATAGTGTTCACCCATCCATCCAGGAGAAGACGTTAAAGGCATAGAACACTTAAGATGGAGCATGGGGGTCAGAGAGTGACCGAGAGCTGAATGCTAGGTATTACTCCAGTGTCCATTCATTGCCCATGACATCAGCTGTGAAACCTTGATCTGAACCTCATTTTTAAAAATCAATTGAAAATTGGGATAACAGTGGCAAGAAACTGTGCTGCAATCCCAAAGGCACGTGGTTCAAATCCACCAGCTGCTCTGTAAGTGAAGGATGGGCAATCTCCTCTCATGTGATTTACTGCCCTTGAAAACTCTCTGGAGAGTCAACAATGGGTCAGTTCTAAATTGATGGCAAACAACAATAACAACAACAGCACGTGTCTCAGAAGCTTCTTGGAATGTTTAAAAAATAAATGTGTGGAGAAGAGAGCCAATTCCAATTTGAAATTGACTCAATGGCAACTGGTTAGAGATTGTATGTTACATAGCGGGGTTAATGCATTTGGCTATTACCAAATGGTTAGCGTTTCAAGTTCACCCAGAGGTACTGCAGATGAAAGGCCTGGAGACCTACTCCTGAAAAATCAGCCACTGGAAACCCAATGGGGCACAGTTCTACTCTGACGCATACAGAATTGCCATGAGTCAGAATTGACTCAGCTGTAAATTGTTTCTGTTGGAGTTTACCATGAACCAGGTTCTGCACTTTCATTCATTAAAAGGAAAATAGTGGTGAGATGCTTATGTTATAGCTGACAGCAACCTGTCATACAAATGTGAAAACAAAAGGTCCAAAGAAGTTAAGAAGCCTGTCTGATATCAAAGATCCTATAAGGAAGGTCCGGGGCAGGATGTAATTCTCGTTCTGTGTTACTTCAGCTGATAGGGGTTTCTTGAAGTTCCTGCTCTCCTTTTCAAACTAAAATTACTGCAATCATTTGGCAGGTGAAGTGTGTCAGCCTTTCAGCACCAATCACTTTGT